CCCCCCCCCAAGAACCCACCACCTCTTTGGCGCTTCCATCGAGGCGGTCATCCTTCATTTCTTCTTTTCTTGCTTTCTGGAAGCAGTTAGGGAATGTATGATGAAGCAGAAATGAGCCGTCAGGATGATATTTTAATGGCTTATATGTCACGTTGGTGCATGTGGCTTTGAACTGGAGCAGCTTTCGTTTCCTGCAGAGAGCGCGCCGCAAATCCCACTTGATAACTTCTACAACCCACAACATTTTTTTTTTTTTTTACATTCACTCTTACACTGTATATTTAGATACGCTTCCTAAAAATACCCTCTCGTCTGCCTTCTCGTATATTTTGCACCGACCTGGAATGATCACTGGGTTTCCCCTGCACTGGGAGGCAGGCTAGGACTGGACTACCTAACTTTCTGGACTAACTCCTGATGCCATCGCCCTCCAGATTTCACATAACACTGACAACTCTGTTCTTTGCTTAATTTTAGCACCAAACACAAAAGTAATGTAACATCCACCTAAAGACCACGTCCACACACAGGCGCTCTCCTAGAGCGGGTATACCTGTTGCTATGAGCTATTGCAATTCCTTCGAATGGATTTGGCAGAATAAATGCAAACGTGTAGATTCAGCCCAGCATTATTCCGAAAAAAAAAAAACCAACCAAAAAACAAACCAACAATCCAACCCGGGAAAGCCTCCCAAGATCCAAGGGAAATTACATAATACATCTGCTTTGAAAGCGATCTCCATGCACCGAGCACAGGCAAACTGCAGCTGCAGATAAACTGCAGCGAAACATTCCTTCAAAGCGTATCAAAGTTTATTTGTTGTTGTTTGTTTGTTTTCTAGGCGCAATGGCCATTTTTATACCTCTCGAAATGAGGCAGTTCTCACCCGAGAAGGGTTCGCGCAGCAGCGCTGCTGCTCTGCTTCCTCAGTACCTGCGCTGCGGATTGCTTACCAGCGCCTTTAATTAGAGGGGATGAGTTTAAAGTTTCTTTGTTTGGCACTAGGAATTGGAGGGGCTCGGATTGAGCTGCGAAGGGGGCAAGTGAAGGGCTGAACAAAGGCGAAATGGAAAGAGTCCGACTCTTAGCGAGCTTTTGGTGTTTTCGTTACTAGAAAATAATTAGAGCTAATGAATATGCAGGCGACTGAGTAAATAAATAATTTGCCAGTTTTATATATGTGCACACACACACATGAGCACATACGTAAGTGTATATATGCATACGCACACAAAGAAGTCTGTATTTTAAAGTTTCAGGAGATTTTTTTTTTTTTTAGTGCCGAAGCATCGTTTAAAATATTGTACAAATGTTGCTTAGCTTAATTGATTAAGCCACAAAGGTTTTCTGCTTTTAAATACCATACTTATACCTTTCAACAATCATTTTAATATATAGTCAATGGCTCTTTGTAGCGAGAACAAAAAAGAACTATCCGCAGTTTTTCAATAGACTTTGAGCTGGGGAAAGACAGGTTAATCGAGGGTTGCATCTAGAAAACAACCAAGTGTTGTATGTTTGCACTGAATCCAAATGTCTGCATTTTTCTAACTAAATCAAAGGGAGTGTTATTTCTTTTTCTGCTCACTCATCTGAAGGTAAGTAAATTTTCTCTGGCGATCAAAAGCCTGGTCAGCAACAAAGACACCGCCTGCTTTTTCCACCGTCCTGGTGTGGCAAGTTGAGGAATTTCAATAACTGTGACAAGGGTGACTGATTTGTGAACTAGAAAAGGTTTGAATGTCAGAAAATTTACATTGCTCCTATCGAGGATTTTAAATAAATTTTTTTACCAAAAAAAAAAAAAAAAGAGAGAGAGAGAAGAAGTATCCGGGAGTTTCATGCAGCAGGAGGAGAAACAATGTAGGTTTGGGAAATTTACAGTTTTACCTGAATGAAAGAGACCCCGTAAAAAGAGAGAGCGAGAGAAAGGAGAAAGAAAATAACAAAAAAGAAGCGAAACAACAACAACAAAAGTAGAAAGTTAAGAGTTCTCACCCACCTGCGTTTTGATGGGTGCAGAAAACAAGATTTATTTCAGAAACCTGATGGAGGGATAGAGTCAGCTACCCAGAGAAATCACGCCTGGCGTTTAAAAATAAAACCAAATGCACCCAGCACCTACTCTCGGAGAGCTTCAGTTTTAAACAAGCGGAAAACAACAACTTCAAAAGAAGCGAGTCCCTATAGGACTTCTCTTTTCAAAGCCTAAAAAGTTGCTCAATGATCTTAAAAATTCTGGATCACCAAGAAATCATCATTACCATCATTATCAGAGTGCTGGAGAGACAGAGGGACAGAGAGAGGGAGAGCGGGGGAGAAAATAACCCTAATAATAATAATAAAAGGTTTTGGGGTTTTTTTCCCCCCTTCGCACACATATACACAAAAAAGATGCGCTGGAAATATTTTCGTGGAGGGCAAAAAAA